GATGATACAAATCCTGCATGACCCATAATAAGGAATATACAGTAATTCCCGTAGTTTAGGGTCCTTCAGGTAATGCAGGATTTCTATCATCAACCGTTTGGGGCCCATGTACTTCTATATGGGTACATGGACCCTTAGGGAGGGGAACCTGCTTGCTATATGCGGGCACTTGGTGGAGCGCATGGCCAAGTGACCGCCTGGCTGCCGTATTTCGACCGTCCGCATGCATCGAAGACTCCAACGAGTTCCCAGAGATCCCAATATCCCTCAATTAAGGAAAATGCCTCAACTCATAATGTTCAGGCCCAATTTTTAACGTATATTCCTTAATCAGGGGTATTGGGTTCTCTAGGTTCCGGGTAAGCGAAAAGTGGTGTTGTCCATCGCCTGCCGACCATCCGAGCTGCGCTATATTGCATTTCCTTACAGTATAACATACCAAGCTATGTTGTGTAGTGCTATGTTGTGTTATGCTATGTTGCATAATTACTGTGTTATTATGCGTCACAATCTTGTTTCTTTACCCTCTAATTACTAGATTACAACATACTATAGTATAGTCCAGAGACTGTGTCATATTGCAATACCTTACATATTAGAATACGGTGCACATTATTTTGTTCTGTTATGGTTCGCCTAGCAGTAGAGTAGGTAACCTTTAACTTTTTTTGGGTAGTAGAGTCCCTATATAATCCCTATATACCCAAAAAGGTTAACCTTTAGTTCCCCATGATACCTCACAAGTAGGACGATCCCTAAACCCATATACTTTGGGCCCAATGTACCGAAATAGGGAATACTTTAAGGCCAGTGTATATAATATATGAGTCATGGACCCTTAGGGCTTTGTATGTAGCAGACTGCCCAGGGCCTCTTCGGCGGCTCCGGCGGGCACGGCCCAGCAGCGTCGAGCCTGTGGGGGATACCCAGCAATCCTTAATTTCTACCTACAGTCCCATTGTGGTTCTTAGGACCCAAGTGCCCTCCAGTAGAGCCCATATGGTCCTTAATTATCGGGTGTAGTGGTTTTGGGTTCTACCTACAGTCTCCCTTGTGGTGCTTTTTTTTTGGCAAGCCAAAATCTATAGTATAGGATCCTAGCCATAAAAATGGTTAACAAAAACAAGGATCACAATCGAGAGTATAGGTAAACTCCAAAGGTCCAAAGCTCTCAACTCCAAACCCCTGAGACCCTAATACAGGGGCTGTAAGGGTTCCTTTAAGGGGTCCTTCTGAGGCTTACGATCTAATGTAGGGGCCTTAATAATTAGTATGGGGTTTCGTTTGGGGGTACCTTAGACTATGCACACAAAAAGAACCCCCAAAATAGTATAGGTAGTTATTTAGGCTTCTGCCTTACACCATAAACCCCGGGTGCCCCCCCCATACAGTAAAAGTCTATAGGTGGGTTACTACTTCGACCTTCTATGTCTATAGTGCAGATAGTTTTCAACTTCTACTGCATGGTGGGCAGTATCGAACATAAACTCTTCTCAACCGTAGATTATTTCTTAAGTGGTTGAACCCCGACATTCTACCCCCAAGACGCTACTCATATCCCAGACCCTAAGCCGTCATCATAACCACATACAGCTGCCATGCTACCGCACGATCCCGGCAAACTGTAAGGGCCAAAAGAACCCCAACAGAGTTCAGGATGAATTCACGTACGGGCTTATATCGTGGAATCAAAAGCCCGCACTTTTTATCATTCCTGTCCGTTGGCGCGTTCTTTTGGGTGCATCGCCCCATTCAATGTATGAGCAGACTCGCCCTCGGAACCCAAAGCCTGGGCTTTGGAGTACCATACTTTAATACGTTTTTGGGACCTGTTACTTAAAGGGAACCAATTATGAAAAAAAAAGTCTATACTTTTTTCTCTCTGGTTACTTCAAAGCCCAGTTTAAGATACCCCAAACCCTATTCTATTTATTAAGGCCCCCCATATTAGACGGTTTAGGGTGTATATGGTTAAGCTGAAATTTGCAAGGCACTCGCAGGCGACAGTGACCTCAGGGATGTTGGGGTTCGAAGGAGTGCTGAATGTAGGAACCTGATTAAGAAACCCTGGGCCCAGAACCCCGAAATAGCAGGATTCATATAAGGAACCCGAATAAGGACCCAGGGTTTCTTAATCAGGTTCCTATATTACCCTTCATTGAACCTCAAAGCTTGGAACTCTCGGCTTTTTGTGGTCTTCTTCGAGGTCGTGTTGAAGGAGCTCGTTGCCAGGGACACCGGTGCAGGCAACGAGCGCATATGCAAAGAGCTCAAACTGGCATCTGCTGCCACGACGGCGGAGTGTGCCTTTTTGGACGGCATGGAGTCATCGCCAAGGTACCTCACCGATGAGCAATCCCTACTATCACGGACTGACGTAGCTGAGTAGGTAACCTTCAACCTTTGAGGTTGACATATTCCTACCATAATTGCAGAGATTAAGCCTTGCGCCCCTCAGCGCTAAACCCTAAACCCCAAGCACCCAATTCTTTTCAACCCTAAACCCGAAAGGGCTAGGATCTTCAGGCCCTAAGAATCAGATGATCAAGAGCAGACCCGAAGAGGCCAAAGGAATAAGACAGAGGCCCTCAGAACTCGAATTTGGTTCTAAGGGATCTATAAGGGCACTATAGTATATATATATATATATATATAGGGGCCTTAGTAATTTGAATAGGCCTTTGGGGCCCACTATACTAGAATCATAAAAAGGAACTCCCAAACAAATGTAGGTAATTGGTCAGGTCCCTTTATTCCAGGGTTTAGGGTAGAGGTTCCACTGATACCCTACCTAGAGTATCCAAGGCAGCTTAAAACGGTAAATTGTGCCAGTTTTGAGGGTGGTCATATCCCTCTGTCAAGGGTACATAGGTCTAAAGAAGTCACAGCAAGAAGCCCCTTGGACTGAGAAGGTGCCCTAGTTGTAGCGTAGGTATCATGTACTTAATTTGGGGTACGATCATCCCTTTATGACCCCGAAGGTTAACCTTTGGTTCCCCCAGGACACTGGAGAAGTAGGGTTGTTTTGTTCAATGAAGGGGCCCGAGTGGGTCATAGTTGCTTCGGGTTTAGGGGTTACGGTGTCGGGCTTAGGGATTAGTGAACGGCTTTGGGGTTCAACTTGATTGAATCTTAAAGTGTACGAGGAAATGCCATGGGGGATACTTCACTGAATCATCGTAGCAATTAGTTGGAATTTAATATAGAAACCCCCCAGTCTACTCTACAGGCACTTTAGACCCTGTGGGAATTAGCTAGGAGACCACAGGGATCTGAAGGCATCCCGACTGGCGTTCAGCATAAACTCCAGTTCCTTAATTCCTTACCCTAAACCCTAAACCCCTAAACCCCTAAACCCTAAACCGAAAACCCTAAACCCCTAAACCCTAAACCCCTAAACCCCTAAACCCTAAACCCCTGCAGCCCGTAAGCTTTAAGCCCTATAGAGCCGAAACCAAACCGCCAAGTCCTATAACCTTCATATGGGTGGTTGGCAGAATTGGGGTCCCTTTTCGGGTACCCTAAATATAGTCAAAGGGGAAAAGGAGGGACCCCTAATGGGGACCCCTACCCTACTGGGTATATAATAGCTATATTAAGGGTATATACCTATGGGTCCTTATTAAGGGTCCCTCCTATTACCCTTGGATATAGGTGCCGTATTATAATAAGGACCCACAAAGCGACCCGAAGTTTGACAACCACCCATAAATCCTACTTAACCCTCTCAAATTCGAGGTCTCGAGGAGGTGCCCGAGCCCTGTGTCTATGCCAACGGTCTGTGGCTCGCAAGTGCTGCTTACCCGGGTTCTGTGGCCATGGAGGCCCGGATCGGTGTTGGGGATTGGAGAGGGGCTTTTGGTGTTGGGTGTAGTAACGCCCTTGCGTTGCTGCACCTCTCATGTTTGCATGTTTGATGGTTCAGGTCTTGAGGGTTTTTGGGTGCTTTAGTTCAAGGCTGGGGTTCGTTCCGTCTAAGCTTTCGGTTTGGTTGAGGAATGGGGGCTTCGAATTCACAACGGGGCTCCGGCGTTGGGTTTTGTTCATTGCTTCCGTCTCGTTTTGCCGGTGCCATAGGAATTTTAGGGAGTTTCGAACACTGGCTCAATTTTGATCGAGTCAAGAGTCTCCGCGAGGGCTGTGCAAATAAACATGGAGGTTGGCATGATACGGTTGATGATATAAATCCTGCATTGCCCTTAATAAGGAATACACCATAATTCCCATAGTTTAGGGTCCTGAAGGTAATGCAGGATTTGTATCATCCACCGTATGTCAGGTGTTTTACGGTTCCAAACCATGTGAAGCTCCTTTTTCGCTTCCTGTCACCGTGTGTGTAGTACCCTGAACCGTAAACCCAAAAAGGAGGGACAGCGGACCCTTAATGGGGACCCCTACCCTTTAATGGGCTATATAGTGGGTATATAATAGCTATATTAAGGCAAAACCAGCATATTAATTAAGGTAATACCAGCAGTGCTTCCAGGGTCCCGGAAGCACTGGGTTAATTTAACCCAAGGCCGCAAAGCGCAAGCACTAAATCCGACTAACTCCCTCCAACCCTCATGAAAATTTAAAACCTCGAAGACCCTGATCCATGAACTGCGAAAATCCATAATCAGATGATCGCATGTGAAGCTAAGTGCCTTAACCGTGTTAGTTCTGCAATGCTTTTTCGAGATTGTGGATAGCATATGGTAAGAGCCCGATCAAGTTCTCTAGAGTGGTGTCATTGTGTACCCCAGTCATAGTATCAATGCCCCTGTGTTCCCCCCTTACCCAAAAAGAGCCCTCAAGCCCCCGATAGAACTCCCCTAAGCCCTAAACCCAAAGGTAACAAAGGTAGGTAAAACAATGGCCCAACCCCTAACCCTAAACCCTAAACCCAACACCTACAAATTCCCTTATTCTACATACTTTTTGGGTCTAGGTACACCCTAAACCAACAAGCTTTACCATCCGCTTAAGTGGCCAACGCTTCGTCCTCGCGAGCTATGGAGATGGTACAGGAGCTCACCGATGAAAATCTCGGCCTGATCCTTGCCATTGTTTAAGGTTTAGGGGTTTAGCCGTTGAGGGTTTAGGGTTTAAGGTTTAGGGGGTTTTGCCGTTTAGGATTTAGGGTTTAAGGTTTAGGGGTTTTGTCGTTTAGGGTTTAGGGTTTGGGGTTTTGTTGAGTCGTAGGCTTGCTAGGCTCAGCTTGAGCCAGAATCCCTGTAGGTAATTGGAGTCCTAGGGTTAAATTCCGAGAGGGTCCACATATACTACCATCAGTTGCTAAAAGACTAGCCTTTTATGGCGGGCCAATTATGATTCCGTCCATAACGGTACTATACATGGACCCTCTCGGAAATGAAGGATTATACAATATTATACCCTAAACCCTGCAACGTATCAGGAGTGCATATGGGCCCTCTTGGATTGCCTTCAAAGTAGCTATACGGGGTGTTCCGAAAATTTGGGTGTACCTCATTTTGGGGTCCTTACAATGAGGATCCCACCGTTTAGGGTACTATTTTAGGGTCTCCCTGTTTTGGGAAACTCCCATGTACTAGAATACAGGGTTTCTAGATCAGGATTTGCTATCATGATGTGGGGAAGTGTCCCCCGTAACAGCACCTAGGACCCTCACGCATTAATGTAGGGACCGGGGTTATTGTAATTGTAGCAAAAAGAAAAACATACACCAAAACCCTATTCTTATTATGAAGGCACCACCCTCGTGGATTAGCCCCAGAGAGCCCAATCCCCCTTAATGAAGGAACATACCTTAAATTCTGAGCAGCTTCATATTATGATTTAAAGTACATTCCTTAATTAGAGGGGTATTGGGCTCTCTGGGGCAGCACTGCCCAGAGATCCCAATACCCCTTAAGTAAGGAATATACCTCAAATGATAATATTAAGCCCCCTATGATTTCAGGTGTATTCCTCAAATAAGGGGTATTCGAAACCCCTAAACCCTACAGATCCCTTATAGATCCCTTAAAGGAGCCCTATAAGGTATCTTGCTTAATTCAGGGGGCCCTTTAGGGTTCTCGGGGTCAGCACTGAGGATCCTCTTTTCTGGACCCCAAAACCCTGTTCTAATTATTAACTAGGATGCCCAGCAGTACCCTTACAGTAGAAGCCAGAAAGTTGGAATATCAATATCGTAACCCCTTTAAGGTAAATTTGTATGGGATCCTACCATTAATCCATATTCCAACTTTCTGGAGTTCCCTTTATTCCCTTTTTGTAGTCCTAGGTGCCTTATAAAGTTACCCAATACCAAAAAGAGAGGCCTTTTTATTCTTAGGGTACTGGGTATCCTAGCCTCTATACTATAGTCCCCTTATACATCCCTTATCTTGAAGGAACCCTGAAAGGAGCCCAAAACCTATTCTTATTCTTACGGCCCCTATACTAAATCCTTCTAGCAGCCCTTATAGTAACCCTTATAGGCCATTTATGAGAACCCTTCAAGGGAACCCGGTTCTTGAGCCCCCTTCACTGAGGATCCTCTCCTGCCTGACGCTACGGAGCCTGCCAAGCGCTGCTCGCGTCGCCAGGAGACGGGTTGAAAAGCGCTGGAAGGATTTAGGGCTTATTGTCAGGGTTAATTAGCGTTTAGGTTTTTTGGGATCCGGGTTGAACAGAGCTTGAAGGATTTGGGGCTTAAGGGATAAAGTAAAAGCCAGAAAGTTGGAATATTATTATCCTAAACCCTTTATGGTAAATTATAAGGTATCCTACCCTGAAGCCATATTCCAACTTTCTGGAGTTCCCTTTAGGGTTGGGTCTAGCAGTTTTAGGGACCAGGGTTTAGGGTTAGGGCTTTGCGTTTAGGATTTAAGGTTTAGGGTTTAGGGCGTTTAGGGTGTTTACCTGTGGCTACAACAGCCTTTTATTTCAAGGTTGATTTTTAAGCGGTTTCACAGGTGTTACAGGGGCAACTTGGTGGCTTGACAGACCGATTTCGCGGCTGTTCTAGATCTAGGTTTGGTGGTGTTGCAGTGGGCTTGTACTAAGTGTTGCATGACTACAATCGACAATCTTTTAAACCAGCAGCAGCACTCAGCTGTCCGACAAACTACCAAGAATCAGTCCGTTGGCGAGGTTTGCTGGCAACTAATGCCGGTTGATAGCACGCCAGGCCACAATTGCGGAACCTCACCCCCCTCCCGGCCGAAAGCCCAATCCGTCTCCGTAAATCCGGATTGCACTGCGTAGACCTGCAACCTTTGTAGATCCCTAATGGGATCCTTTAAGGACCTGCCTGTTCAGGAGATGGCGCGCTGCATCGGCATTGGGGTTTTCGAAGCTGCTCTGGAGGAAAGAAGCCCAGTACAGCGAGGTGGGACCTGAACCAGAGCGTCTCCCTTTCCTTTAAGGGGCTCCCGTATGGGCACTATAAAGGGATCTTTTAGGGATTTATGGTGTTTAGGGTATAATAAGGCTCCATGTGCCCAGATGGTAGACACCTGATCACCTCTCCATAGGGCTCCATGTGGGTAGGTCTCGACCTAAGGGTCCCGTCTACGGTGCTGTTCACAAGCGTGCCGTGCCATTTTGGGACCTGGGAAGGGACATTAACTTAGAGAACTTCAGAACTACCCATGTATTAGGGGCCAAAAAGCACATATGCATAAGCATTGCTAGGGATATCCCTACCTTACTGGGCTATCAGGGGGTTTATATGGGATATCCCTATCCTATTTTTTGCTTATGTGCTCTTTGGGGGCCCTATTGTAACTATAGATCTTGAACACTTAAGCCTCAGAAAAGGTCCCAATTAAAGCAGTTCAAGGCCGAAGTATGTATACTTGATGTCGGTAAATGGCGCCTGAGGGTCTACCCATAGGCTCCATTTCCTTTTTGGGATTACCTTATAGACTTCTAAATATGAGCCCCAAAACAGGAACTACTTTGGTGCCTTTGGGTAGTTTGGGGTTTCCCCACGAATAGGGACCCCTTCGTTGTGCCAGGTGATGCTACCAGATGGCAAACGACTGGGAGATGGCTTTGTCACATTTCTGGGTGATGGCAGCGCTCTGGTTTTGGCGGCATGTCACAAGGAGGGCATGTCAAAGCAACAGGAACTCAAACACAGACGCAGACGGATAGCATGCTAATGAGAAGAAAAGCTCGAAAGAAGAGGCACCCGAACACCCTTCAACGCCGTGTCTCACCCCATCTTAAAGGCCTTATACAACGTAATTATACAACCCCTGATTTGGACCTCGAGCTTATACGGAATCCATCCCTCCCCTTTCAATTCACTACAGAACCGTTAAGTTCAGCCTGAAACAAGCTATATTTTCCCCCAAAGCGTTTGTACAACCCTACAAACCCTGCAAGATAAGCCTGCAGATTCCTATTCTCCCCTATGAATAGAGCCCTAAACACCAAACCCTAAATCCTAGACCCTAAACCTAAACCCTAAATCCTAAACCCTAACCTCTCGCAGGAGTCGAGAGTTTGGACTTATTGGCTTCCCGATGGATCTACGCAGGTTCAGGAGAAGACGAGCCGGCAATGGCCATTTTCCAGGTGGGGACATAAGGGCTTTGATACGGTTGATGATATAAGTCCTGCATTACCCATTGATATACCATAATTCCTATAATCAACAGTGGTTAAGAGCGTGTTCCTTCAAAGTCTCTACATTGAGGATGTTATGTTTTGGGACATGGGGGGTTGTAGTCGAAATGGTGTATTCGGGGTATATCATACTACGAGTACTTCTACAAGTGCGAGTGGTATTATTGTTGTTTTGTTTATCCAGCCTTCCTGTTACCTTGTTCACATGGCCAATGTGAAATTCCACGGATCTCGAACCCCAAGCCCGAATTTCCATGTTTGGTGTTTAAGGTGTTACAAGGTTTGGAGCTTTCAGGTTTAATATAGGGGCCTGAATAAATTCCTATTTTCTTTTGGGGGGTTCCTTGCTATAACTGTGGCATAATATGCCGCAAAGCCCCATTCAGCTGTTCAGGCCCCTACATTAGGGTTCTGGGGTTGAGGGCCCTAAACCCTAAGTAAGGGTTCTGGGGTTGAGGGCCCTAAACCCTAAACTCTAAGGGTTCTTGGGGTTGAGAGCCCATAAACCCTAAACTCCAAGGGTTCTGGGGTTGAGGGCAGGCTCCGCAGCGGCGTTGCCGGGCTCGTTGGGTATGCGGGGCAGCAGATCGCATTCTTCCCTGCAGCAGCTGGGAGTTGCACATGGTCAAGCAAGACGCAGGTGGGAGACGCAGAAACAGACCACGTGTAAGAGCCTTAATAATATTTCTGTTGGAGGGCTCCTGATTGCAGGTAGAATAAAATCAACCCCAAACCCTATTCCAATTATTAACGCCCCTATATATCAGATCGTAAGCCCCATGTTGTAGCGGGAAAGCCCAAGGTCATTGGCCGCACACATCAGAATATACTACACTGTGGAGAGCATCTGTTTCTTCTTTGCCACGGGAATTGGTGGCATGATGAGCGACTTAGTCTTACAATACCCTATCTTTAACCTGCTTGATTCAAGCATTCGTCGTTTTCTGAAGCAGCAGACAATACCCAAACTTATTGTTTGGGGGAATCTTTACCTTCGGTTTCCATGGGTCTTCGTTGAAGCAAGGCAGCTGTTTGCTGACGTTCTTGACATGCGAGAGGGCACGTATCAGAAGATTGACATCACCAAGATGCGTGATGACATGGCGCAACTGCTGGGAGATGACTCCGCCCGACGCCAAGCAGTGAGCTCGACAAGAGACCCTCAGCAGCAGAGTCACTACCCATAGCCCCTGTATGACCCCATGCGAAACTTAGTTTTAAGTTACCCGGAGCCCCAGAAACTGGACAAATAAGGACCATTTCGTCTTCCATGTTAACACCTTCACCGGCAAGAAGATTGCAGGGGCCGTTCGCATCACAAAAACTGGAGGAGGAACAAGTTTCTGGGTTCATGTTGGAGAACTTATATGGGTGGCTGTCAAAATCATGGTCCCTTTTTGGGTCCCTATGATCATACGGCACCTTTTATTTAGGGTATATACCCAGAAAAGGACACTTAATTTTGACAACTACCCATATCAGTGTTCAGACGCTTAGGATTCCCGGTTTCCTTTTTGATGGGGAACTACTTGCGGGGGCGGGGGACTTAGTAATTAGGGTCCTTTCTTGATCCTTAATATATTACGGACCTAATATTGAGGGTACCCTAAAAGGGGCCATAATTTTGACAACTACCCGAATCCAGGGCCCCTCAAGCCAGAACCAAAAGTCTCCTCCACCCCTGAAGCTACAGTAAACCCCATAAAGTTGGAAACCGGATTAAGGCCAAATAGTGCTGGGATTCCCTATACACTACTCTGAAGGGTTGCGGCTATGGGTTTTCCAACTTTTCGGCTTCTACTGTATAGGGGTTGGGGTGTAGGGTTTAGTGGCTTCGGGTTCCGGGATTGATGGGCTTAGGGAGTTTAGGGGCTTAGGGTTTAGGGCTTAGGACCGCAACAGTATTCCCTTACATAGAGTCCCTGAAACCAGTATGGTATACGATACCCGCCAAAACAGTCCCTGATGTCATCATGGCATAATAGGCCACCAAAGCCCGAAGACGATTGCTAACGAAGCCCTCATGACCCCAAAAACCCTGGATCCGATTCTCGAAATCCTATATACCTGAACCCTGGATACCCGAAGCTCGACCAGCAAAACGACCCCTTCTAGAAAGCTTAAACCCTAAGGCCTAAACCTCTTATAGAAGTCCGAAACCCTAACCCCCAAACCCCTTACAGAAAGCCTTATCAACACCTTAAGCCCTAAGCCCCTTAGCTTGTTGTTCAAAGGACCGGCCAATGTATAGACTATTTGGATACATGGACCCTTATAAACTAAACCCTAAACCCTAAACCCTAAATCCTAAACCCTAAACCCTAAACCCTAAACCCTTTAAAGGAAGCCTAAAAGGAACCCTCAGGGTTCTTCCTACGCCCTAAACCCTACGCCCTAAACCGTAAACGGGTTCTACGTAGCCCTATGGGCATTCCCCAGTGACCTTGTGTTGCAGGAGAAAAGGAGCGACAAAAAACTGGTTCTACGGTTGATTATATAAATCTTGCATTACCCATAGTAAGGAACATCCCATAATCCCCATAGTTTAGGGTCCTTAAGGTACTGCAGGATTTATATCATCAACAGTAGAAAGCCCAGGTTCGGCAGTCGATGCTCCTATCTTCGGTTAGTAGAGACTGGAAGAATGGAAGCAATGGTAGTTATAATTGTACCCCATTCCTCCATTCCCTACTAACCAAAGGTAAGGAAAGCCCAGGTTCGGCAGTCGATGCCCCGTGCTCCATGGCTCCTGTGAGCTTCGCGAAGAGCTGGGCGAGTGGAGATTTGATCGCGCAGCTGGAGGAAGGGTGGGCTTTAGGGTTTTAGGGATGTACAGTCCTTTAAGGGTTCCTGTAAGGGTGAGGAATTTGGGGCTTTAGGGGCTTTGAGGGTTTGGGTTTAGGGGTTTGGGATTTAGGGGTTTGGGGTATTTTGTAGGGGTGTAGAGCTGGTGGAACGGTGGGCTTTAGGGCTTTAGGGATGCACTCCTTTAAGGGTTCCTTATGGGCTTCCTTTAGGGGTGTAGGGTTGGGGTCCGAGGGTATTAGGGCTTCAGAGATTCAGGAGAGCTCAGGATTAGGGGTTTGGGGTATTAGGGGGTTTAGGATTTAGGGTTTAGGGTTTGGAGGTTTAGGGTTTAGGGTTTGGAGGGTTTGGAGGGTTTGGGGGTTTGGGGGTTTGGGGGGTTTGGGGCTTAGGGTATGATACCTCAGTCATGTTGGAGAGGGAGATGTTCTATGAGGGTTGCTATACCGGCATGCAGGCTCTATAAGGGTCACTGCTGCGAGGGCTTCAGAAGGGTTGCCATACTTGTAAGGCCGGGGGACTTAGTAAGTAGATAGTGAGTAGACTTATAAGTACCCTAAAAGGGACCCTAATTGGGGTTATGGTACTTATAAGTCCCTAAAATAACCAGTTACTAAGTCCCCCGACCCTCCAAGTAGTATGGGGGTTGGAGCGGGCTCGAACCGACTACGGAAGTACGGGAGCCTGAAAGTTTCTCGTTCCAACCATGTAAAGCAGCGCAAGAGCCTCCAAGCCCGGATGGGCATCCTCCCCAGGGATCCCAATACCACTTGATTAAGGAATATACCTTCAATCAAAATATTAGGGCCTCTATAATTTAAGGTAGATTCCTTTAATTAATGGGTACTAGAATCCCCTAAACCCGAAACCCTATACATCCCTTTAGAGGAACCTTAAGGTATATTCCTTAATTAAGGGTATTGGGTTCTCTGGGTCCATACTCAGACGCTTTGTCCTACCCCGAAGTTCTGGGTTGAGGCTGGGTTGCCTGCTTACTTAAAGGCTCATGGGACTTAGTAAGTAAGGTTATAAGTAGGTTATAATTAGGATAACCCCACTTAGCGGACTTATAACCCCAATTATAACCTACTTACTAAGTCCCATGATCCTTCAAGTAGGGTTGGGACGGTCACTGCACTGGAAAAGTGCTTCAACGCTTTTTTCTTGACATTGGCCCAAGCCAGACCCTTCAAGAGCATGTAGGTACAGGCCCTTCAACAGCAAGATAGTACAAGTCGAACATGGGGGCCTTCATATATACCTATACTATTTTGCGGGGCTCCTTGCTATAATCATAGTATAATATGGCCCCAAAACCCTATTCTAATTCTTAAGGCCCCTATATATCAGATCGCAAGCCCCATGTTGTAGCGGTTTTGCCGAGGAGCCCAATGAACTTCCAGTTGAAGACCATCTCCTCCTCTATAGTCGCTGGCGGAAGAATGGACTCAGCGTCTTAGTTCGGACAAACGCATTCTTCGGTTGATGATAAAAATCCTGCATTACCTTTTTGGACCCTAAACTATGGGAATATTGGTATATTCCTTATTGTGGTTAATGCAGGATTTATACCATCAACAGTTTCACCCAAAAGCTCCATGCACCCGCGTAGGCCTGAAAGTACCTATGTCGGGACCCCTTCAAGGTCCAAGTATATACTATATAGGCACATGGAGGCTTTGCGGTAAGCCTTGTGTTTCCTTGAAGGTGCAAGTGCCGAGTAATGCTATGCCCCCAAATGCTAAGTAAGCTGCATAGCTATAATCCTAAACACCGGAACCTAACCCGACTTTGGAGCTAAAGGGGGTCTTATAGTTGGTTGTGTAGTGAAACATGTTTCTGAAAGGTTTACCTTTTAGGGTTCAGGCGTTGGGGGGTTTAAACGGTTTAGAGTTTAGGATTGTTGCTCTTGGGTCTTGGGTTAGGCCAAGTAAGGTGTTTGCCTGCTGGATGCTGCCAGCGGCATGGTTCGATCGCAGCTTTTACGGCCACCCTCAGGCACAGGTCCTCAACACCATGCTTGGAGGGTCGGGGGGCTTAGTAACTGGTTATTTTAGGGACTTATAAGTACCTGAACCCCAATTAGGGTCCCGTTTAGGGTACTTATAAGTCTACTTACTAACTACTTACTAAGTCCCCCGACCCCCCAAGTACTCTTTATACGAACCGGACGTAAACGGAGTTGACGGCTCTGAGGTAAGGGATACCCTAAACCAACTCCAGATGACCTCAAACCGGACCTGAACCATAGGCCATAAACCCTGAACAGGACCTAAACCAAAAATCGTAAACAGGACCCGCACCCTTAAATCCCAAGCAGGACCTAAACCCTGAGCTGTAAACACTACCACACCAGCCACCCTAAAGTCTAACCCCTACACAGGGAAGCCAGAGAACCCAATACCCCTTAATTACGGATGGATGCTAGGGGGTATTGGGATCTCTGGGAACCCGAAGAGCTTTTCCCTGCACTCTGAACAGGCCCTGCTGGCCAGTTTTTCGCAGATCGAGACATGGGTGCCGCTTGGTTCTTGTTAAGGAACTGCTGCAGGTGCTACCATGAGAGGAATTCCTGTAAGGTTTCAGATTCGTTTCCCTGACTTAGGGGCGTTGAAGAAACATTTTGAAGTTTCGTTTTGTATAAGTTCCAGGGTGTATTATCACTAATGATGTTTTTTACTGGCTTCTAAGGTTAGAAGTATGGGCCCCTAATATGGACCCTTAGGCATTTTTGAGGGTGTTTTAGAGACCCTTCAGAGTCCGTTGATGGCTGTGTTCAAGAGCAGCCGAGGCTGTTTCTGTTTCGCTGAGCTTTGACATCATATGTGGCTGCGGCGTGGCTCCACGAGGCTTGCAGCCTCCACCCGTTGTGGTCTGGGATTTGTCAACTGGACTTGTGCTGCAACAGTTCTGCCATCATGCTGTTCAGCCAGATGCTTCAGCGGTCCTTCCAGCAACGCCTCTTGAGCCAGTGGGCGGTGGGTATCGTTTCAGTGTTGGAAATAACGTGGAATGCTTCACGAGCGAGGGGTGGCAGCCAGGACGTGTCATTGAGCAGAACTATCGGGAAACCGATTGGCCAGTTGGTGTCAGCGCACCTTACCAAGTCCGACTCACAGGTGACACTCCGGCATTGATCTATGTCCCGCAAGATCTGCCACGCCTCATCCGCCCAATCGGCAACAGGCAGGCTTACGAATCTGGTGAGGTCGACATTCAGATTGCAATGCACCCGACACGACGCTGCATCATGCTAGGCCTTTGGCAGAAGTCTCGAGGACGCGTGCATTGCCTTGAAGTTGTGCCTTAGGCCCAAGGTCCCGAACGAGGGTAGGCGTTAGAGTAGTTTTTTGGCTTCCCAGGTGAGGGCACTTGTTTCTGTTGTTGCTGCTCTGCGATGCCAGCAATGTGCAGCGACCTGAGATTGCGGAAAAAGACAAGAATCAGATTCCGTGCACCAGCAGCCCGTGTATGTTATTAAGTGTACACGCAGAAGTTCTCACCCTAGACCTTTCATGAACACCTAAGCCACTCTTGGTAATAGTAGCACACACGTACATATATATATATATACACACATGCACACACACAATTCTTTAAGTACTCACAGACACACAGACATACACGGATAAAGCATGTTTGAAGCCCTGAGCTCTTTGAAGCCCTTCTTGGGGAGCATTCAACTAGAATGCCCAAACGGCCATGGAGGGGGGGGTGTCGGGAGACCCTACACTCCCAAAAAAACCTAGCCCCCTGTCTTGAGCTTTTATAAAGCCTGCCCCGAGATCTTCTCCTAGAAATACTTTAGAACTAGCAAAAACCTGCCGTGACACGCGATGAAGCCCTCCAAAAACCCCAAACCACATAACCACATACACGTCCCTAAGCCTATCTACCATAAAGCCCTCGAAACTCTCATGACAAACCATAACAGCCCCAGGACATTCTGGACCCCATGCATCCCCATAAAGCCGTAGTAAATCTTAAACCACCTACACCATTTTCAACCCTATACAGTCACGAAAGCACCAAACCAACAAACCAACAATCAAAGCCCAAACCCCACAGACAATCTGTTAAAATCCTGTAAAAACCTTAGATAGAGAGTCTGTAAAGCCCGAATACAAATCTTGAGAAACTCCCGGATACCTTGACAAACCATGCAAAGCCCCAAGCCCTAAAACCCACAAATAAAAGCACAACTTACCACGCCCTACGTAGACCTACATAGAACCCTCTATAAACCTCAAACCCCCTAGACCCTCCATCTACCCTCTATTAGACCCTACCCATTATTTCGGGACCCTTTACCCCTGTTTGAGGGTACAAGGAGGGTCCTGGCCTACGACCATCTCCGGAGGTTATAAATCTGCATTACCTTCAGGACCCTAAACAATGGGAATTATGGTATATTCCTTATTATGGGTAATGCAGGATTTATATCATCAACCCTCACAGTCGGGGTATCAGAATCCCCCTAAACCTTCAACTCTATAGATCCCTTTAAAGGAACCCTACAGCCTAAACCCTATAGATCCCAAAAGGAACCCTAAAGATCTCTTATAGATCCCTTTAAAGGAACCCTTAAAGGTACCCTTATAGATCCCTTTAAAGGAACGTAAAGGTACCCATATAGATCCCTTTAAAGGAACCCTACGACCATCTCTGGAGGTTGGTATTTGATGATATAAATATTGCATTACCTTCAGGACCCTAAACTATGGGACAGGATTTATATCATCAACCGTACGACGATCTCCGGAGGTTGGTATCACTGCAAGGGTGGATGACTTCTGGGACACCGGAGGATCCAGAAGCTCGCTCCCTGGGGGGGATTTTTGGGTTTTGGGTTTAGGGCTTCAGGGTTTTAGGGTTTTAGGGTTTAGGGTTTAGGGTTTAGGGTTTGGAGTTTAGGGTTTGGGGTTTTAGGGTTTAGGGTTTAGAGTTTAGGGTTTAGGGTTTAGAGTTTATAGGGTTTAGAGTTCAGGGTTTAGAGTTTAGGGTTTAGGGCTTAGAGTTCAGGGTTTAGGGATGTTTAGGGTTTAGAGTTTAGGTTACCGCGAGGCTTTCTATCACAAGGGGTACGATCAAGGTCACCGCAGTTTTGGGTTTAGCGGCTAGGGTTTTGAGACTTTCCGTTAAGCTTTTTTTCTGTCAGGGTCGATGAGGAGTAAGACTTCAAAGTCGAGGTAGGCTTCCTACCATTTGCTTAAGAACCCCAAAAAAATAAAAATATATTCCTTATAGGGATAATATAGGGATTATCATTTTTTATTTTTTGGGGTGTTCTTAAGCAAATAGTAGCTTCTGAATGGTTAGACCCATTAAGGTTCCTTGCAATCCTGACTACAGAGACGGGGGTGGTTTGCAACGTACTCCTGACAATTCAAGATCACAGCCTACCTTCTGTTGTGTAGGGCTAGGGTTTAGGGTTATGGTTTAGGGGTTTAGGGTTCAGTTTGGAGCTACAAGACAGGGCTTTACAAGGGTTTTTGAATACGCTTCATAGAGTCGCTGTCGGCCTTGATGGCGGGGCCCTCCCTCAGGATCCTCTTGGGACTGAAGAAATCACGATAAACCCAGAGACTCCAATATCCCTTAATTAACGAATATACCTTAAATTCTAGTAGGATCCCTAATAAGATTTTAAGTATATTCCTTAATTAAGGGATATTGGAGTCTCTGGGAACTCAAGGGTCCCGCCCGTTATCGGTGCGCAGGAAGTAAATGGGTTTACTTTCCAGGGGTCTACATGAAATCGTCCAACCCAAAGCCTAAACCCCACATCCAATAATCCTGAACCTTCGAGCCCTAAAGCTCCAAGGGCCCAAATGCCGACCACTATTGGGAGGAGATTACCTAGTCTTAACCCCTATATCATATGTCCCTGCTCGGTATGTTTCTGTGGCTTTTGTGGCTGCTAGACTGCTAGACATCCTTGTGCTCGCATGCCATCACTTTGCGCCAGAGCCTGAAGTAGGGTTGCATGTCCTGCTACTGCACATCATTGAGATGCCAGCCCCGAAACTGTTCGGTGTTGGCTTTGCAGGCTTCTTATTCTGTGCCCCAATCCCTGAGTCCAAGAATTTACGGACCCAAAAATTACCAATACTGGTGTGAGGGTTTCTTGTTAGAGTAGAGTGTACCCTAAATATCTATTCTAATTATTCAGGCCCCCACCCAAAGGGTCCGAACTACCTCTATAGTAGAATGCAGGGTTTATATATTAGGAATTACTATTATGAGTTGGGGAAGTATCCCCCATAACTGTACTTTGGGCCCTTTGGGCCATAGTAGGCCCCTGTACTATAGAACCCTTCTATAGATCCCCTACAGTATCCCTTTAAGGAACCCTTTAAAAGAACCCCCTGAGCCCTCTTCTAATTATTAAGTATTGCTCCAACCTCTTCTATAATTATTCAGGCCTTTACTGTAGAACCCGACAAAAGATCCCTTATATGTGCCAGCATCCGCGCACCCCCCCCCCCTCCCCCCCCCATGGTAATCCCCCTCCCCCCCCCTGTGGTTCCTGTGGTTCCCCCCCCCCCTGTGGTTCCTCTTGGTTTTCCCCCTCCCTTTTGTGGTTCTTCTGGTTCCTGTCTCCCCCCTCCCCCCCTGTGGTTCCTGTGGTTCCTCCGCGTGGTTGCTGCTGCTTTGTTGTTGCTGCTGTTCTTCTTCTTGTTCTTGTTCTTGTTCTTGTTGTGTGGTCGCCCGGGTCGGGGGGGGGGGATACCATGGGGGGGGGGGGGGGGGGGGGGTCGAGAACGCGGAGCGCGGGCACATATAGAGCCCTTTAAGGGTCCCTTTAAAGTAAAAGCCAGAAAGTTGGAATATGACTATCCTAAACCCTTTATGGTAAATTATAGGGGATCCTACCATTGATCCATATTCCAACTTTCTGGAGTTCCCTTTAAAGGAGCCCTATTGCTCCAACGCATCCGCTGCCATGGCTACGGTGGTGCAGCCGGCACTTCAGGCTCAGCCTGCAGATGGCTTGCCCAGAGGCTCCATCTACCCCAATAAGGTAAAAGCCAGAAAGTTGGAATATGATTATCCTAACCCTTCTATGGTAAATTATAGGGAAGGAAAGGGATCTATAGGGATTCTATAAGGGTTTAGGGTTTAGGGTTTAGAGTACTTGGAGGGTCGGGGGACTTAGTAACTGGTTATTTGAGGGACTTATAAGTACCATAACCCCAATTAGGGTCCCTTGTAGGGTACTTATAAGTCTTCTTACCAACCACTTATTAAGTCCCCCGACCCCCCAAGCAGAGGCTCCATCTACCCCAATAGGGTTCCTTTAAGGGCTCCCAGAGCAGAAGGGTCCATGTACCCAAGCAGTATATACTTTGCCCCCAAAGTAGTCCCTACCCAAGGGGCCCAAGGGTTCACATTTTGAATTCTGTAAGGTAAACTCAAACAAGAACTACTATGGGGCCTATGGGTATATAGGTACTTTGGGGCCGCAGTATTTAATTTTTGTGTAGATTCGAGGGTGTCGAGTGCATTTTTGGCGACCGAGTACTTCTGCCACAACGGCGCTGGTAACACTAGAAATGCTACAGTAGCTCGTAGTCCCTATTCTCATTTGGTTAGATAAGATCATACTAACACAGTAGTAGGGCATAGCCCCGTATTGTCATTCGGTTATATAGCGTAAGAACAACAGCAGTATCAGTATTAGTTAAGCCCAATCCCTCAAACCCTGAAACCCTCAAGCCAGAAGCATCAAAGAGCATCGCAATAGCTCCCCAAGAGCGAAGCTTCATTCTCAGCTGACCTTTCCCGGAGCGCCAGGATAGGATGTGGTTCGTGTACATGAACACTTTTTGGGGGTCTGCCCTAGCGTGAATGCCTTGTTGACCTCTAGCCAAGCATCAACCTCGCGACGAATACTCGTTCAGTGTTTTGATTCCCGTTCCAGCTTCTTCTAGACCACCATTTGAGAGGTTCCAAAGGTTTCCTGGCCATGCTCCATCCTGGGCGTCCTTCCAAAGTGACTTGCTTTTGGGTCTGCTGCAAGAGGGGAGGTACCATAGAATGATCGCTGAACACTAAGCCCAAATGCCGGACAGTTCGGGAAGCCAAGCATTGCGCAGCTCATGTAAGCTCGAGCCACAGAAGCAATCGTTGAAGAGTGGGCTAAGGACTCGAGGCGTAAGGTTTAGGATTTAGTGTTCGGGATTCTGGCTTCATGTAGAGCCCTGAAAAAGGGAAGTATACTAGCTAGGGATCCGACTATACTGATCCTTAAGGAGGGGGTGAATTATTCATGAAAGGTCTTCCCATCCAATACCCGCAGCCTTCACAGCTTGTTCATTCCCACTTCATGGTTCTTGAACCTTCAGGATAATGCCTCCCAAAGAGTTTCTAAGTCACTTCTAAAAGACAGGCTTTGCAGAGCACAGGGGGATGAAGCTGCGGCCAAGCTCCGATAGATACCTATACCCAGCCTGAATGCCTGAACCCAAAAACCCTAAGGCTCCAGGTACCTATACAATATACACTTTGGCCCAAAAGGGTCCCACATACCTAAAGGCCCCAAAGTAGTTCCTTTTTGGGTTCGTATGTAGAATCCTATAAGGTAGTCCCAAAAAGGAACTTCTGTGGGGGCTCTGGGTAGGTACTTCAAGGCATAAGTACATACGATATAGGTGCAGGAAGCTTTCGGGAAATAGAAACTCGGTAGATAGCTTTCCGATGTGACGCCATGCGCCCTTGCTGCATATCCACAGTGCCGGTCGGGGGCTATGTGCCTCGAGCTTGTTTTGCTGGGACTGGCCAGTCGTACCTTTTTCCCGTTATCCTTTCGGGTCCCTATTGAAGCTAAATAATTAGTACAGTAGGAACAAACATACCTTCATCATTGGGGCGCTATAGTCTGGGAACCTCGTTTCGGGTTCATTCTGGGGGCTTCTGGTCGGCCATAGTGCTTCATACGGGGGTTGCCGGAAATAGGGGACCCTTTTCTAATACCTTAAATAGTAGGATCCTTAGTAAACTAGGTTATAATTGGGGTTATAAGTCCCCTAAGTGGGGTTCTCCTAGTTATAACCTACTATTAACCTTACATACTCAGTCCCGTGAGCCTTTAAGTATTGACTTACAGGCAGCCGCCGCGAATAGTCTAGAAGCCTGGAAGGCCAGTGCTCACATTCCGAGGGTTCCTCGTTGTTCGAGTATTGAAGAATTACACCTAAATCGGTTCTAAAAACCCTAAACCCTAAACCCTAAACCCTAAACCCTAAAACTAAACTATCAGAACCCCTAAGGCCCCATTCAAAAAGTAGGTTTTGGTAGGTTAAGGGTTCTAAGATATCATGACGCCTGCATTCGGGAAAGAAAATGCCAGGCACCTGCGTCTGTCGACCCAACCTCGGTGAGAGGCAAGAGTGGCAGGCCGACATCAAAAGGTTTAATTTTAGGGTGAAGGGTTTAGGGTTAAGTGTTGAGGGTTTCGTCCGTTGACGACTTCGGGTCTGGAGTTGTTTTTGGGTGTTTGCCTTGATGGCTTAGAATCTAGAGTTTAGAGTTCAGGTGTTTAGGGCTTCAGTGCATGGTGCGGGTGTTTCTTGTCTTTCATGCTTGTTTGGGGTAGATTGCTCAAAACGGCGACCCTAAACCCTAACTAGGGTCATAAATAGGGTAACTATATTTATACCTGGGTATATCCCCAGTTAAGGTACTTATAACTGTACTTACTAAGTCCCATGAACCTCCAAGTAAAACGTAACCCTGAGAGGATGTTTTTGTAGAGCCCTGAATCGAAGCCATGAAAAAATCAATTCTCAAAACCAAATCCTTTTCGGATCCGGTGTTGGGTTTTTCTGGTTTCCCAGAGACTCCAAAACCCTGTAATTGAGGAATGCGTCTTTACCTTTAATCTCTTTCTACAGTTCAAGGTATATATAAAAGAGTGTGTATATATATATACAATAAATATATACACATATCTATATATAGATACATACCTACGTAAACTTGTTCCTTAATTCATAAAGTTGTTGGAGTCTCTGGCAGGACGGGGACCTCCCTCCCCGCTTGCGGCGCCACCGCCACCGCGTCGCTGTTTGCGACGACGGCGTTGCTGGCGCGACGTGCTCGTGTCTTCGGCTTTATAGTGTAATATGGGGGCCTTAATAGTTACCGGCGCTATTTTCGGGGCTTCTTATTGTACGTATACCAAAAACCCTATTCTAATTATTAAGGCCGCTGTATCAAACTCCATAAAGACCCTACCGCATCCTATACCCTACGCCCTACACTCTTTCAGCCCCACAAGCCACGCCCTAAACCATCCTAAACCCTAAACTCTCTCAGCCCCTAGAGCCACACACCCTAAATCCCCAAAGCCGTCCAAGGCGCCCAATGTGCGCGGCAAGCAGCCGGTGAGGTCTTCCTGGAAGATTTGGACCGATCAGATCCCGGGCGGTCTGCCCTTCGAAGCGAGCATCTTGGTACGTAGAGAAGCCAAGGGGCTCCTTAATTGAGGGAGTATACCTGAAATTTTAGACAGAGGAGAGGCCTTAATATTACTATTTAAGGTATATTCCTCAATCGAGGGGGGAATTGGGATCTGAGGGTTTAATAGTTTAATAGGGTTTAATACTTATTGGCTATACACTCAACTTTTCAATTCTTGTTGTTCTCGGGAGGGTTTGAATTTCAGGGTTTAGGAGTTTAGGCTTCTAGGGTTCAACAGGGTCCCTTGAGCGCGGCAAGATCGGGGCAGAATGGCGTTTTTAAGCCCTTCTGTTCTTCGTGGTGTTGCTCGAGCTTAGCTAAACCCTAAACCCTAAACCCTAAACCCTACCTGTCGCCGAAAAGACCTACCTTTTTAGGGTTCCTTATTATGGTTTCTATATATAGTTCCTTAACAAGGTAGGCCTTTTCGGTTGCAGGTAAACTTAGGGTTTAGGGCCCTTCTCTGCGGCAGCTGGTGAAAGGTGGGCCGTGGCTGGGGAGGTCTTCTTTGAAGAAGTGACGGAGGCGAGCGGCCTCGTGCGAGTCACTGGCTCGGGTGCCAGCAATGGCGCCTTGGTTGAATGTGGGAGTTTCCGAAAATCAGGGGTACCTTATTTTGGGGGTCCTTATGAAAAAGGATCCTACAATTTAGGGTGCCATATTGGGGCCCCCCATATTCGGAAACTCCCATGTAATTGGTGCAGTCTTTTATACACCTTGGATGAGGGGAGCCAAGTTACTGCGAGCGATGAGCAGGCCCTCCTCTTCCCAGCAGTGACTTTTTATCCCCGTGACATGGGGCTTAAGATTAGGGACCCAAAAGGCACATACGCATAAGCATTTTTATGCGGATATCCCTACCTTATTGGGCTTCATTATAAGGGGGTTTATATGGGATATCCCTATCCTAAGTTTTGCTTATGTGCTTTTTTAGGGGTCCTATAAGAGTCTCAAAACGGGTGCGATCTTCCTGTTGTGCATTGAAGTGCCAAGTCCCAAACCCCTAGTAGTCGAGGAGGTAACCTTTAACCTTTTTGGGGTTTAGGGTTTAGGGTATAGTCCCCTAGATAATCCCTATATATCCAAAAAGGCTACTTGGGGGGTCAGGGGACTTAGTAAGTAGACTTATAAGTACCCTAAAAGGGACCCTAATTGGGGTTATGGTACTTATAAGTCCCGAAAATAACCACTTACTAAGTCCCCCGACCCTCCAAGTAACCTTTAGTTCCCCATGAAACTCAACAAGTCCCAAGCCCGAACACTCTACCCTACTCACTGGCGGCTCCCAGCAGAGGTGGCTCGTGGCGGCGTCTGCGGTTCAATGGCAACACGGAGCAGAGTCCGGGTTCTTGTTAAGGAACTTACTTAATTTACATTGCCATAATGGGCATCTATAGTATACAACAAGATTTTCATATTATGGTGCTTTGAAGCTCCCTGATCCTGAGCCCAGGAGCGTGCTCTTGGTGGATGCGAGCAAGACGCCCGAATTTGGTGCATTAGCCTTTGGCGGCTTGTCATCTCTTGCAGGACAATATGGCTTTAGTGCCAGACCTGTCTGGTGTTGGGGGTTTAGACTTCGGTGTCGGCTTGAGTTTAGAGTTTTGGGTGTTTGTTTGAGGCATGAAGTTTGGGGGTTGCAGCTCCTTATCACCATTGTAATCTCCCAAGACCTGATTGAAACGATTAAGGTTCCAAAAGTTTACATACATGTTTTCAGAAATTGTTCTGGTTTTGTACTTGTGACCCAGACGCCTGACGGCCTGAGCACCGTCCGAAGAAAGTCAAGTTTATTCCGGGCCTCGAATCGGAGATAGTGGTTTGCTTCTCCAACACCCAGCTTGACCTTTGCTTCAGTTCAATAGCCAATGGGAGAACTTTATTCTTTTCGGCCTTAGAGTTTAAAGTTGGAACTTCAGGGCCCGGTTATTGAAGAGGAGAGTTTCTGGTTGGCTCTTACGCATTTGAGTGCCCCTGCGAAAATCAACAGTGCATATCCTTTGATTGCTGGGGCGGTGTGCATAAGTCGGCGATCCCTACATCCCCAATTCATATTTCTTAGATCCCCAATGCCCAACCTTTAAACTTTTTGGGTTCTTATAGTTTGGTAGGAATGGGAAAGTTCAACCTTTTGTTTCTGTGGCTTATTGGGGGAAGAAGACATGAAGGAGTGGTCTGCTGTTGGATTCCCTTCTTTGGGTACATGGACCCTTCTACCCTATAAAACCCTATAGATCCCTTGAAGGAACCCTTAAAGGAACCCTATTTGGGTACATGGAATTTTTCGGGGTTCCAGGTTACCTGAACCCTTAATATAGCTATTATATACCCATTATAGGGGTCCCCATTAAGGGTCCCTCCTTTTCCCCTTTGGTTCCAGGTTACCTGAAGTCGCTGGCAGCGGTGGGAACATCTACCGCCAGGGCGCTGGGCCGTCCTGCTCCTGGGTTTCTCAAGTCCTACCCAGAGATTCCAATATGGGGGTTTCCGAAAATAAGGGGTACCTTGTTTTGGGGGTCCCTATAATATGAGGATCCTACCATTTAGGGTACTCTATTAGGGTCCCCTATTTTCGGAAACCCCCATATAGGCCTTAATATTATGATGTAAGGTGTATTGCTTCATTAAGGGGTATTGGGTTCTCCGGGCAAGTCCTACCTTTTTGGTTTCGGGTGCGCCCTTTAACATGCGGGCTGGAGTATTTAGGTAGCAGTTTCTTTTATTTTGTCGCCTCTACGCTGGCTATACTAGAATATAGCCCGAAGCCCTCCTAGAAGGTAATCCCAAAAAGGAACTACTTTGGGGCCTCTGGGTAGAGTTACGGGTTGCTCGAGGGTTTAAAGGGAACTCCAGAAAGTTGGAATATGGTTTCAGGGTAGGATACCTTATAATTTACCATAAAGGGTTGAGGATAATCATATTCCAACTTTCTGGCTTTTACTTTATAGCCCGAAGCCCTATAACTACACCACTACAAAACAGCTTTGCAGTAAGACAAAATCCAGCTTGAGGGATATTGGAGTCTCTGGGTACAACAGGGCTCTATGTGGCAACCTGGTGAAGCACCACAAAACATGTCACACTTTCGTGGCAACATGTGGGAGTTTCCGAAAATGGGGCACCCTGACATATAGCACCTTGAATAGTAGGATCCTTATTATGAGGACCCCAAAATAAGGTACCTCTGATTTGCGGAAACCCCCATGTAAGGACACCCGGCTCTCGTACCTCAAGACCCTATCTCCCGAAATGCAAAGCCCTACTCGCAGGACCCGGGGACGTCGGTATCTTTGAATGCTCTAAGGTATCATCGGTCTTGGGAGGATTTATGGTGCTTTTCTGTAGTCTCGAATACAAGCACCACAAAAAAAAGCAGGCTTTGGGGGGTACACCTAAACCCTACACCCCAAACCTCAAACCCCCAAACCCCCCAAACCCCTAAACCCAACACCGCCTAAACCCCTGAACTGCAAACCTCAAACCCCCAAACCCCTAAACCCCAGACCCAAAACGCCTGAGCCCCATACCCAAAACCAACAACCCCCAAACCCCAAACCCCTAAACCCTATACCTAAACCCTAAAACCCTAAACCCCTAACTAAACCTCCAAACCCCCCAAAACCCCTAAACCCCATACCTAAACCCTAAACCCCTAATTAAACCTCTAAACCCCCAAGAGCCCTAAACCCCCCCTAAATCGCCCTAAATCACCCTAAATCCCGCTAAACCCCTAAACCCTCGATGAGGAAACGCTGCGGGTCCTGGTTATCGGAGTGGGCCTGGGCGCCTTGCCTGGCTGGTTCTGCAAGAAGATGAAGGTGGGGGTTCCGGGTTTAGAGGGCTTCAGGGATTAGGGGTGTAGGTATTAGGGGTTCAGGGGTTTAGGGAAGATGAAGGTGGGAGTTTAGGGCTTACTTGGGGCGTCGGGGGACTTAGTAAGTAGTCAGTAAGTAGACTTATAAGTACGCTAAAAGGGACCCTAAGTGGGGTTATGGTACAAGTCCCGAAAATAACCAGCGACTAGGTCCCCCGACCCTCCAATGAGTTTAGGGCTTAGGGGTTTAGGGGTTAGGGCTCTAGAGGTTTGGGATTGAGGGGGGTAGAGTTTAGGGGTTTAAGTCTGGGGGTTTGGCGTTTAGGGTTCGATGGGGGTTTAGGCTATAGTCTCCTTCGGAAGTGTTTGTACTTTTTGTTCATATAGAACGCAGGAGAATATTAAACATAGTATTTGTGTTATGGTTCTATGGTGGGGGGTATAGTAGGGTTTAGGGTTGAGCTCAGCTTTCCGGGTAGAGCTTAGGGATATACAACAGTGTTATCCGGGCCGTCTATGGATCTGCAACAAGATGAAGGTGGGGGTGCAGGGTTTATAGGGTCTTACGACAGTTTTTTAATGACGGCTTGGAGGTGTTTTGTAGGGGCTCCTCAGTCTTTCGAAAAGGTTCGAGGTACATGTCTGAATAATTCGATAACATTCCCGACTACTTCTCAAGCAGGTGTGTTATTGGGAGGAACTGTAGGGCTCTACGTCTCTGTTGATTAGTATGTGACTACAAGGGCGCATGACTGATCCCCGGTATACGGTTTGCAGTACTACGTCGCGCAGTAGTACTCGGAGGCCTCCGATGGAACAAAAAAGACGCACGCTTATGTTTCAGCGGACTGGTTGGGCCCTGAACCCCACATCCAAAGCCCTAAACAACTCCCGACACTCTAAGCCCTCCCAGAATATATGCCCGAGCGGTCGAGCATTAAATTATGGTGGGTTTAGAGTTTCGGGTTTAGGATTTTCGAGCTTTAGGATATACTATTTAGAGTTGAGTGAGGTTTCTGGTTTCAGCTTTCGCAGTTTTTGAGTGTTTTCAGGTTTGCTTTGAGGCTCGCGATGTTCATGCTCCTCCTAAACCCAAAACCCTGAACCTGGGAAAGCATAATTTCAAGGATTTAGGTTCCCGAAACCTTGAAACCTGAATCCTAAACCTCCTAAATCCTACTGGGAAAGAGTAGAATCAAGGATCTTGGCATCCCAACCCAAAATGCGTAAACCCCAAATACCTAAATGCCTGATTCTTAAATCTCTAAACTCAAGTCCCTAAACCCTAAATTCCTTAAATCTCGCAACCCCTAAGTCCCATCTCTAAAACCATAGGCCTTAAGTCCGTAAACAGTTAGAACTCTAAATCCCCAAAAAACCCTAAATCCCCAAGCCCTCGAAACCCTAAATCCCTAAACCCCTCAAGCCCTAAAGCCTATAATCCCTAAACCCTAAATCCCTAAACCTTACCTTGAGCCATTAATCCCTTAGCCTTAGCCTGACATCCCTAAACCCGAAAGCACTACAACGTTAAATCCTTCAGGGCTACACCCCTAAGCCCGAAACCGCTGAAGTTTAAATCCTTGAACCCTATGTCCGAAAAATTTGAAAACCTCGAACCTCAAACCCCTAAACCCTGCATCCCTAACCCGAAGCCCCTAAGCCCGAATCCCTGAACCCGAAATCCCAAAGCCTTCAACCCTTAAACCCGACATCCCAAAGCCCTGAATCCGTCCTAAAGCCTAAACCTCTAAACCCTAAGCCCTACGAACCCTATAGTAGACCCCAAAAAGTTGGAAACCGGATTAAGGCCAAATAGTGCTGGGATTCCCTATAAAGTTTCCACTTTTGGGCTTCTACTGTAAAACCCTACGAGCCCTAAGAGCCCACAAAAGAGTGCTTTGTGGGCCTTGGCCCCTGGAGGCGACGGTTGACGCTGTGGAGCTCGAGCCTTGGCGGCTTTTGTGGATTTCGGGGGAATTAGGGTGATTATCTAGGGGGATTTAGGGTAGGGTTTAGGGGTTTGGGTGTTTTAGGGGCGTAGGCAGGGTCTAAGGGGGGGCAGGGTTGGGGCTTAAGGGGTGTAGGGTTTAGAGGTTTAGGTTTATTGTCTATATGAATTTGCATGTTTCAAGTGACGGCCATACAAGAACATCTGTTGCAATACCTTGCAGCAGGGTGAGTTAGCAAGTAAGATAGATATGCAGTTAGCTAGTTAGCTAGCTAGCTGATTAGTTAGTTGTTTGAATGTGTAGGCTTGTTTGGATCAAGACTTTGCGATGCTGTCGGGTTCTGTAGGCCAAGGTTCTCAGTGCATCTTGCTTTGGGTAGACGTGTGCGTTTTTAGGTGGCTCGGTGCACGGTTAAGGTAGTTGGACAGCTGCCGGATCGACCGCAAAGTTGCAAGCATCCGTGCATGTAACTGAGCGCCAGTCAGCATCCATCTAAATCCGCTGCGCATGGAAACATTGGCCTTTAAGGACCCAGCAGTGCTTCGTGCTGCTGCCGCCATCGGCGGCATCCCGGTGGGAGCTGTTTGTGATGCGGGCAATGCGAGGGAGCCACATGGAAGCAGTAATTATGCAGTATGCTGGCAGCTTCACAGGGCAGTGAAGTCGAGGTGTGAACAGCTGGAACTTACTTATAGTCGTAGTTCCTTTGTGGCGTTACTTTTCAGGAACCTAACATGAAACTTGTTAAAGCAAAACAAGGAACTACAATGGAGACTATTGGCACAATAAGCTACCCCGCCATTCCCTCTTTTTCTCCTGAGAACTGGTTGTTGAGGCCTCTGTTTTGCGATGCAGTGTGGACTTGTGTACTCGTCTGAAGCAATTGATGCGAAATTGGAGTCATTGCATTTCTGGTGTGGGAAACAGTAAGACCTTCAATCAAAGAATCCTCATGTTTAGCTATCTGCATATGTACGTATCTTTTGTCCCAAGAAAATATGTAGATGGATAACTTGCGACAATCAAAGATTGATAGAGGTGTGAATAACTAGCGCGTTAGTAACGTGGGGTCAAGGTTCCCCCGCTTGGGCTGGTTTGGGCCTGGGCTTCAGGGCTTCGGCTTTGGGTAGTCGTAAGTGAGGCTACTTGGAGGGTCGGGGGACTTAGTAACTGGTTATTTTAGGGACTTATAAGTACCATAACCCCAATTAGTTTCCCTTATAAGGTACTTATAAGTCTACTTACTAGCTACTTACTAAGTCCCCCGACCCCCCAAGTATAATGGTAGGGTAGCTATAGTTATAACCCATCTGGGGGGGGGACTTATAACCCCACTCATAGCTACCCATGAACCTCCAAGTAGGGCTCAGGTTTTTGGGCTTGTGGGGCTTGAGAGCTTTTAGGCTTAGGGTGGCGGTTGAGGGTTTTGGAAGCCAGCGACCACCCTTGATAGCCTTCCCTATAGGCCCTAGACTACGCCGCCCGCGGCCGGCCCTCCAAGATAGTAGTCGCTGCAGAATCCGTATGCCCTACCATTCTGGAGCTCTGCCGCCAAACTCCTTTAACAACAAGTGACCCTTAAGGTGCAATGTCCTGAAGCATGTCTTAGCACTAGGTCCTAACCATAAGCCCTAAGGTAACTTTCGAAGACCTTTCCCATGAGAGCTTCCAGCCCTACATCTCGCAGCTCGGGGCCCTGCCCGACCCCCGTAAAATCTACCTGGGTAGGGCTTCGTATTATGATTCCATGTGCAGTTCAGGCTAGTTAAGGTGAGTACCCAAAGCCCAGCACCCTAGCACCCAAAAGCATAAAGCCTTGAACCCTGAATCCTACGGTTGATGATATAAATCCTGCAATACCAATAGCAAGGAATATGCCATGTTTCCCATATTTTTGGGGACCTTAAGGTAATGCAGGATTTTTATCATCAACCCTAACACCTTGCACCCCAGACCGAAGCGATAGAAAGGTGCGCCAAAGATGCTGCAGAGAGGACTCCCGAGCCCGGAACCCTGCGCGTGTATTGCTGCGACGGTGCAGAGTCCCCTGGATGCAGGAGCCAAGAAGCTACCCAAGCAGAATATGTAGAAGCTTAGATAAGTTTACCAATGCGATTTGGGTGCTCCTTGTTAGAAATATACTTAAAATATCCCCCAAAACCCTGCTCCAACCATTACAGCTGAAACATTTCTAAGTCCTAATTTTGAGATCTCAACTGCATGCGGTTCGCTGTCTTTCGTGTGACTGTGGATGCTTGTGGCATTCAGGGATTCGGATTTGGAGTTTGGGGTTGGATTGGCTCATGGTCCAGGGGGGGCCGGAGGTTTTGAAAGGCTACGTACTCAGTGGAGATTTAAAGGCCTAGGGTACAGGGTTTTGTCTTCCTTTTGTTGCCAGAACATGTTCCTTCATAGAGGGTTGAGACAAAGACAGTGGGTCTGTTGGTCGGCTGCAGGAAGACAGAGGTGTTGGGTTTCAGGGTGTGAGGCTTGGAGTTTGAGACCTCTTAACACTTACCTTTGGTTAGTAGGGAATGGAGGACTGGGATACAATTATGACTACTATTACTACCATTCTTCCATTCCCTACTAACCAAAGGCAAGAACACTGGTTGCCCTTACTTTTGTAAGGTCTTGGTTTGGGTACTTTTCAGCCTGGCTTGCTATATCATATGTTCGGTGGGGATTCTTGTTCTCCATTGATCGGTCCGAAAAACAGTAGTCATCGTAATATCAGCAGTGACAACAATGAAAAGAATAGTATCAATAACAATAACACTAAGAAGAACTCCAATGATAATTACCATAAAGATACTCCTAAAGTTTGAAGTCCCAAGAGCACGTAATCCCTGCTATTTGGCCACTAGGATCCCGAGAGGGAACTGTTGACTTGCCGTAGGAGCCTCAAAAAGTTTGGCTTCGAGTTCAACATTCTTGTTCCCAGTGGGGTGGTTGTCAAAATTATGGTCCCTTATTGGGTCTTTCTTATAATACGGCACCTAATGTTTAGGGTACCAAAAAACAGGCCCTAATTTTGACAACGGCCCAGTTGATTTTCCTCTGCCTTCAACTTCAAGCACCGCATTCAGCACTGAAGCCTTGAAACCTCCTAAGACCTGAAACCTTGAAGGCCCAAACCCTACACCCCGAACCCTAAACTCCAAACCATAAACCCCAAACCCTAAACCGCACACACTAAACCCCCCACCTAAACTCCAAACCCTAAACTCTAAACCCCGAAACCCCAAACCCCAAAGCCACCTCCGAACAGCAAGGTATGTTGTGGAAGCACATCAGTGCAAGCTCCGCTCCTCAGCGCCCCAATTTTGAATCTCTAGGAGTTGAGGGTTTATGGTTTACTTGGAGGGTCGGGGGACTTAGTAACTATAAGGGGTTCCTTTAGGGTTCCTTTAAAGAGTTCTATAAGGATTCTGTAAGGGTTTAAGGTTTAGGGGACTTAGTAACTGGTTATTTTAAGGACTTATACGTACCATAACCCCAATTAGGGTCCCTTTTAGGGTACTTATAAGTCTACTTACTAACTACTTACTATGTCCCCCGACCCCCCAAGTAGAGGGTTCATGTTATATGCCGAATCACAAGTCTCAGTTCTCGTCAGGTTGAAAGGCTTTTCTGGGGTCGCTAACGAGATGGTATGATGATCAGTCAGCGTAGGATTCCTCTTGTTTTGTCCTGAGAATATGGTTCTATCAGCAATATACAGTAGATGTGCTACATGTGTGTGATGGTAATTGACTGTACATCTAACACTATTATAGGTATCCGTGTCTGTATCTGTGTATGTGTATACATACATATTATGTATACACATATACATACAGTGTATATAACAAATATATATATATATATATACATATATATATATGCACACATTACATCTGCATACAGGTATACACATTCCGGTAGATATTCTCGCAGGTGCATGTACGAGGGTGTCGAGTTAAGGGTTGGGGGCTCGAGATATGCATGCTAGATTTCTTGTGTGAGATTTGGGGTTCAGTCTTTTAGGTTATCGGGTTTAGGGCTCCTGAACCCTAAACCCCAAACCCCTAAACCCTACACCCCTAAACCCCAAACCCCTAAACCCTACACCCCTAAACCCCAGACCCCTAAACCCTATACCCCCAAACCCTAAACCCTAAATTGCTTAGCGCCGGTAGAGATAGCCTTGGGGTCTATCACGGTCAGACACTCTCAAATCAAGGTCTCGTAAGGTGAGCCCTTGTCTACACCCTGAACTGGCCCTACACCCTAAGCCTTCAACCCTAATCCCTAAGCTGGCCTTGCGCCCTAAACCTTCAACGCTGTTGTTAGAAAGACCTTCAAGCCTAGTCCCTAAACTCTGAACCCTAAGGACGGCAAAGTCATCCCTAAATCAGGGTAGTTTAGGTTTAGGGTCTGATAGTTTAGAGAAATGCCTTCGCCATTTGGAGAGCCGATTTTTGTAGCGTCTGCGAAGCGGCGAAGGCGACAAGCGGCCCGCCGTTCGCCCAGCCCCTCGCCCAGCTCCGCATTGTCGTCCGATGGCTTCTACTACGACTCGGATGACTTCCAGGAGGTGGGCCCTCCGTCTGGGCCGTCTGATCCATCCGGCAGCCAAGCTGATGCGCCGGCTGAGCCATCCTCAAGCCAAGCTGATGCGGAGCCATCAGGAAGCAACCCAGACGACGCTTGTGCAGACGGAGAAGGGCCCACAAAAAAAGAGGCTGCTTTCATGCATTCTGGCTGACCCTGGTTTTGCCGCACTTCTGAATCTGACGAGGACTCACCTAAACCCTCAACCCTAAACCCTCAACCCTAAACCCTAAACCCTCAACCCTCAACCCTAAACCCTCTCAGCTAAGGGAGCCCCTTAGTCCATACCGGCCAGCCAGTCCAAAAACATACTGCATACTTGGAGGTTCATGGGACTTAGTATGGTTCTTAAAAGGCCCCTTACAGGGATCTATATAGGGTTCCTTAATAGGGATCTATAGGGTTTAGGGTTTAGGGTGCTACTTGGAGGTTCATGGGACTTAGTAAGTACAGTTATAAGTACGTTAACTGGGGATATAACCAATTATGAGTGTAGTTACAGTATTTATAACCCCAGTTACTAAGTACCGTGAGCCTCCAAGTACCCTAAACATCCGCAAGCCTAAACCGTAAACCCTACTGTACCTGGAAAGCGAAAGTATGTAGAAGAATAGCTTTTGATAGGTGCTGAGTCATTAGTATATCTACTTTTTGGTGGTTTAGGCAAACCATCAACCGACCACCGCGCTACAAAGATTTCGACACTACGAGTTTCAAACGAAGATCCAAGCAAAGCCCTCCAACCAAGAACACAAGGGCTGTAGTAAGTTCAATGTGGCTTGGGGCAGTTTGGGCTTTACTTAATGGGCATCGTAAGGAATACTGCTCGTAGTTATTCCGGCTTCCAGATCAGCATCCGGAACGTTCCATTGTATGTGAGGTCCATATTGGGCTTATGTCTGCAGAGTTTTAAAGTAAGTGCGCCGTGAGCGAGAGACAGGTTACGACGTCGTCATCGTTGACGTTTTCGATGGACAAGGAGAAACGCCTCAGGCACTATGGGGTGCAGGGTCGAGTTTACAGAGGGGTTTCTGATATTCCTGGGCTTTGGAGTACCATACTTTAATACTTTTTTTCTCAAAGGAACCCTTATGAAATAAAAGTTTATACTTTTTTCTCCCTGGTTACTTAATAGCTCAGATTCTGAGTATCACAGAAGCCAAGAACCCTATTGCCCCCAAGCCTCAACCGCTGCAAACTCAAGACTCCCAACTCTAATTCTGGAGGCCTACAACCTGAACCCTGCACCCTGAAGCCTAAACCCTAAGTCCTGCCCTCCTTAAATAGATCCCTATAGAGGAACCCGTATAGTATTTCCCTTTAAAGGAACCTTAACACCCTAAACCCTGAACACCACTTGAAGGATCATGGGACTTACTTTACAATTGGGGTTATAAGTCCCCTAAGTGGGGTTATCCTAATTATAACCCACTTATAACCCTACTTACTAAGTCCCATGAGCCTTCAAGTAGACCCTAAACCCTAAACCCCATAGATCCCTTTTGAGGAAACCCCTATAGATCCCTTTAAGGACCCCTTTAAAGTTACTAAGTCCCATGAGCCTTTAAGCAAGAAGCATCAGGGTGTCTGGGCCCTGGGAGCGGCTTCCAGTTTCTCGGGCAAAGGCTTTATAATTAGAATACGGTTTTGCGGGGCTGCTATTATAATTATAGTATACTATACCCCCAAACCCCATTCTACTTATTAAGGCCCTCACAGTCGGTAGCTGGGTTTGGGATTTGAGGGTCTTTGGGCTTAGATTCTAAAGAGTTTTTTTGCAGGGAGTGCAGGTCTTGCGCTGACGGTTACGGTTAGGGTTTAGGGCCCTAAACCCTAAACCCTAAACCATAAACCTGCTGCAGCACCTAAGCGGCCTTGCTGGCATGAGAGGATGAAACTTGGCGGTTTAGTGCGGATTGAGGGTCCCAGGTCTCGTCACAGTAGTAATTAGTAGTAGGAGTAGGAGTAGTAGTAGGAGTAGTAGTAGTAGTAGTAGTCGTCGTCGTCGTTAGTAGTTAGTAGAAGTAGTAGTAGTAGCAGTGTTAGCGATGACCTCGGCGCCTTCTGCCCTCGCCCCGGTTTCAATGCTGGAAATGCCATTAGGTCATGCAGGAGTTTTTCGTACTCGCCTGTCGCCATTTCGGTGCCTTTCGGCTCAATATTAAGATTCGGGGGTTGCGGGGGGAGAGTCCTGCGTCGATAAATCGATGCAGGATTTTGCGTAGCAGCAGCAGTAGTAGTAGTAGTAGTAGTAGTAGTAGTAGTAGTAGTAGTGGTAGTAGTAGTAGCAGTAGCAGTAGCAGTAGCAGTAGTAGTAGTAGTAGTAGTAGTAGTAGTCGTAGTAGTAGTAGTAGTAGTAGTAGTAGTAGTAGTAGTAGTAGTAGTAGTAGTGGTACTAGTAGTAGTAGTCGTAGTAGTAGTAGTAGTTGTTGTTGCTGCAGCAGTAGTTGTAGTAGTCGTAGTAGTAGTAGTAGTAGAAGTAGTAGTAGTAGCAGTAGTGGTAGTGGTAGTGGTAGTAGTAGTAGTAGTAGTAGTAGTAGTAGTAGTAGTAGTCGTAGTCGTCGTAGTCGTAGTATATAGTCGTTCCGATAAGCCCAGTTGATCCATCGGCTGCGCAGGCCTTCCTGGAAGATCGATTCGGCACCTCGGACTTCTTACGGCTTTGAGGTATAAGGGCCTTACAGGTTCGGAATAGGGTTTTGGAGCCCATGATATTATATTTATAAAAAGGAACCCCCAAAATAGTATTGGTAATTTGAAACGCTTCGCGTCGTCCGCCTCGGCCCGGCTTTTCGCGCATGCGGCGACTGGCTACCATCCGGCGCAGCAGGAAGCTCTTGTACGAAAATAACAACAGTTGGAATCGCACTTGTATTAATTGTAGGGCAGGGCAAAGCACGGCAGAGCAGCGTAAGGCAGAGGGCTTGTCTCAAGAAGCCAGCAAGAGGTTGATGTGACCATTGTAGCATCTCCGCGTTCTGTGCCTGATATTCGACATAGCCCCTAGCTGGCGATAGCGATGCTTGAATCTCCGATGCTATGAGAAGGTTAGGTCGTGGAGCCGCGTGCTGTGCTGCCCAAAGCAACGCTATTTCCGAACTTTGCGTGGAGGGGGGCAGGGGGGAGCGGGGGGGGGGGGGGGGGGGGGGGGGGGGGGGGGGGGGGGGGGGGGGGGGGGGGGAGGGCAGAGGAGGAAATTGGGTGGGACTGCCTACAGACAGCCAAAATCTAGAATTCACCACCGGACCTTGGGGCTCATCGACACGTTTCCATTTTTAAGGGGAATCCGAATAGGAACCTCTGACCGCTTCGGCCGGGGCCGAGGCGAATTATTTAGGCCCCTACAGTACAGCTTTTGCATGACTTGATGTGGCCTTGTCGGGGCTGTTGTCAGGCCACGAAGTACTCAGACCACCAAATTGGGTGATCAACCAGATCGCCGTTTCTTCGCGAGAGTGTCATTATCGCGGGTTGAGTAGGTAACCTTAAGCCCTTTTGGGGTGGTATCACCCCTTTTTAGCCTCAGACGTTAACCTTTGGTTCGTCAAGAAAGCCTGACACAACTCGACAAGCAATGCCATTATATTGTCATGGCCACCGGTACGATTACATGTTCCTTTTACTACTTGCTACAAACCTTTTGATACTTGCAGTAGATTGTTTGATTCTTAGGATTGAGAGCACAGTTACGTCTGCTGATTGCAGTAGGATGATTGATACGAATTCCGCTAGGAACACAAGCCCCATACCCTAAACACCTTGAGTGCTGCTTGAGTGACAGGGCTTCGGGCTCGGACTGTTTTGGGTTGCTATGTCAACACGGATCTTCCTAACCAAGTACCGCAGACTGTATGTCATATGGCAGGACAATAAATTCCACCTCTTCCGGCCAAGGTTTTTTTGGCTGTAGCCTGGATCAGAGTTTTGTTTTTCCTTTGGTGTACTCTCGTCTAGTGAGTAGGTTGCAATAGACAGGGCAATAGCGAGGGTAAGCTCTAGTAAACCTTGCAAATAACCTCAGATACACTTACAGTAGAAGCCCAAAAGTTGGAAACCCGATAGCCTCAAGTCCTAAGAGTAGTGCATAGGAAATCCCAGCACTATTTGGCCTTATTCCGGTTTCCAACTTTATGGGGCTTACTGTAAGCCGATCCATCCTTTTCAGGGGGTATTTCTCGCTAAGGTGCAGCACTCGGCGGCATCGCAGAGTGTGCAGTTGCCAACCTCACCTGCCCGGTGCCTTTGCTGAATGGGACGGTTTAGGGTTTCGGGTCTAAAACTCCTGTACTTCGAGGACGGCACTATGGGCTCGGTAACTCGGGCCGCAAATAAGGTATTCCAGGATATTTATGAGTGGTTGTTTGCTTACACCCGCAATGCACTTATGACTTCGAATGTTTAGAACTCTCTTGATTACATTATGTGTTGTTTTGGTTGGTGGCCTGTGTTCATCAAGGAGTTTTATATACACATAGGTATGTAATGATATATATATATATATACATACAGATGTACATATACATATACATGTATGTGTACACATACATGTGTGTGTGTGAATATATATATATATATATATATATATATACATATATATACATATATATATATATATGTATATATATATATATATATATACACATACATATATATATATATATATATATACAAATATATATATATATATATATATATATATGTGTCTGTCTGTGTGAGTGTGTGTGTGTGTGTGTCTGTGTGTGTGTGCGAGTGTGCGAGTGTGCGTATGTGTGCGTGTCTCTGTGTGTGTGTGCATGTCAGTGTGTGCGCGTCTGCACGGGCTTGTGTGTCCGTGTGCGTTTGTATGTTTGTGTTTGTTGTGTACCTTCTGAGGGGATGGCGTTACCCATTCGCATGTTCCTCCAAGTGGGGTTCATGTGTTCCTTCGGGTGCGCTAGGGCCGCTAGGATTGCGAGCCGCAAGTCCGAATCGGATTTGCGAGGGTTTAGGAGTATTGGAGCTTTCGAAACAAGGTCAGTAGTTCGAACAGGTTACTGAAAGGCATATACAGACTTGCCAGCGCGTGATTGTTTGAGCATATTGCAAAACGCGGCCGAAGGCAATGCATTATCTCCATGCGTGCTGTAAACCTGCATAAGCACGTGTGTGTGTGTGTGTGTCCATATGTATGTATGTGTATGTGTATATTTATAGAGGTAGACATAGATATACAGACATGCACATACAGACATACATAAATACATACGTGCGCCAACCCGAAATCGCCACCCTAGCAGATGGTCGTCTTTTGTTTCCATCCCAGAGATCCCAAAGCCCCTTAATTTTGGAATATACCTTAAAATCATAATGTTAAGGCACCTATCAAGGTATATTCCTTAATTTAGGGGCGGCATTGGAATCCCCTAAACCCAAAAAGTTGCCTCTAAGGAACCCTAGGTATTCCTTAATTATGGGGTACTTTGCAGGTTCATGGGGCTTAGTAAGTACAGTTATATGTACCTTGCCTGGGGATACAACCAAGTCTAAGGGTTACTTGGAGGTTCATGGGGCTTAGTAAGTACAGTTATATGTACCTTACCTGGGGATACAACCAAGTCTAAGGGTTACTTGGAGGTTCATGGGACTTAGTAAGTACAGTTATAAGTACCCTAACCGGGGATATAACCAATTATAAGTATAGTTACCTTATTTATAACCCTAGTTACTAAGCACCATAAACCTCTAAGTCCCCTTTCATTTAAGGTATATTCCTTAATAGAATCCCCTAAACCCTCATCCCTATAGATCCCTTTAAAGGAACCTAGAATCTATTCCTTAATTAAGCGGTTTCTTGGTTTCTCCGGGCATTTTGCAGGTGCCGATGTGGGATGAGGCGCACGAGTTCAATGCTCCTGAGGCGCCAGGAAGTTTTGATTGTTTTAGAGTTTTAGCATTGAGTTTTAGGGTTTTAGGGCTTAGGGTTTGGGGTTTAGGGTTGAGGGTTTAGGGGTGTAGGGGTTTAGGGGTTTAGGGTTTCAGGTTTAGGGTTGAGGGTTTAGGGATTCAGGGTTTAGGGTCCGATGTTTTGGACCGGTGCTCGTTTTCTGCGCCTCAAGACTCGTTCTAAACATATTAATTAAGACTCCTGTACTACTTGGGGGGTCGGGGGACTTAGTAAGTAGTTAGTAAGTAGACTTATAAGTACCCTAAAAGAGACCCTAATTGGGGTTATGGTACTTATACGTCCCTAAAATAACCGGTTACTAAGTCCCCCGACCCTCCAAGTAGGTCTATAAGCTCCAAGCCATAAGCGAAAAGTCGCCGCTCGCCGCCCTAGGTGCGATGATCCCTGCAGTCATCTGCATCATATCCCAAAGCCACTACCTTTAGGAAGCCTAAACCCCGAAGGACCACCACAGTTCATGGTTCTTAACGGGCTTGCGGTTTGCTGAAGCTTCAGACCACCAAGTTTCCAGCTCTCGACACCCGCCCTTTTCCGAACAGGAAATCGCACACCCCCATAGTGAAACCCCAAACCCAAACCCAATCTCCCAAACCCAAACCGCTAACCCCTCCTCAGACCCGGGGTAGTAGATGTAGTGGATTGTTCAGGTGTTGTCTAGCGCATTTCGCACATTTGTAGGTGTTCAAAGCACCGCTGCTTTCCACCTTCAACCTCAACGTTCAACCCCAAGACTCTGAAGTCATAGGGACCCTTAGGGGGGCAGCTGGGAAAGGGGGGTAGGGGACTACACTTCCTTAAATAGGCCTTATTAACTCCTTATTATGTCATTACACCCCCCCCCCCCGCCTAAGGGTCCTTATGATGAAGGCAACCCTTCAGCCGAAAAGCCCGAAGCCCTGAAGCAGCGAACACTGGAAAGCAGCACCGGAAGCTGTACAAAAGCCCTCTTGATAGCTTCATAAACCGAGAGACAAGCTTACGAACACCTTGCATTCAGACCGTTCTCGATACAAACATTTGTATGTAGTAGATACGTATACAAAAACCAACATACATACATACTTACATGCATACATACAGAAACATATACGAATAAATAGGAATGATGATAGCAGTCTCAATCGTATGAACAAACCCAGACATACGGTTGATGATATAAATCCTGCATGACCCATACCATAATTCCCATAATTTTAGGGACCTTAAGGTAATGCAGCATTTATATCATCAACGGTAACAGCTCAAAGGCCACATGAAACGCAGCAAACCTCCCAGGCGGGTTCCCTCGTGAGCGCCTGGCGCCGGGGCTTCGGCGTTGGAGCGGGCGCCAGGGCCCTTGCACTTCCAGTCAAATGGGAAAAGGAGGGACCCTTAATGGGGACCCCTACCCTATAATGGGCTATATAATAGCCATATTATATAAGGGTATATTCATAGGGGTTGCACTTCCAGCGAGTTTTTGTTGCCCGCATTTATGGGAGTTTGGATTGGGGGAATTGGGTTTAGGGGTTGGGGTTCAGGGTTTAGGGTTTAGGGTTGCTAGGATTACGGGGACCCTTGGGGGGACTGGAGGGCCCCTCAAGACCTAGAGTTTGGGTTTAATTAAAAGGTTTAGGGCTCAAGATCAGGAGTTCGTTTTTGATTTTAGAGGGGGGGTGAAGGTTTAGGGTTTAGGATAGTCTAGACATGAACTGCCGAAACCTACCCTCTTGTAGGGATAGAGCCGTCAAACGTGTACGTCCAGGTGTTTTTTTGGGCTCCTATCCAGGGAACTCCTTGCCTTCGTATAGGGCATGGGGGGACCTGGTGGGTAACTTTAGGGCTTCAGTACTTGGGGGGGTCGGAGGACTTAGTAAGTAGTTAGTAAGTAGACTAAAAGGGACCCTAATTGGGGTTAAGGTAGTTATAAGTCCCTAAAATAACCAGTTACTAAGTCCCCCGACCCTCCAAGTAGAGTACTCTGCGGCTCCTTTTTTGTATGGAGAAGGGCTTTGTATGGCTTCTGATAATGATTACACAGAAACCCCTTCAAGTTCCAAATCCACCAGGAACAAGCACTTTGATTCGACTTACCGCCTACTTCTCGTTATCTTTGCTCGAAGGACTCCAGGGTTTCAATTCTTGGGGTTGAAATTCTACACTGGCTTCACAGCCCAAAGCCCAGCCTCAGCAAGCCCTGGCCCAAAGCCCTCAACCTCAAACCCCAACCCAAATAAGGAAAGCCCCAAACCCGACGCCCAAAGTCTAAACCCCAGACCCCAACACCAAAGTCGCCATGTCCTTCAAGTGGACTATAGATGGGTGCTGTAGTTCCTCCACGACCAGCGGACAGACTGAGGTTTGGAGCGTCCGGGTGGCAGAGGGGCAGAACATCATACCCGCTGTGACACCAGTTGGCCGTCCTCCAGCTGCTTGCTCACAAAGTCGATGCATGTGGGTAGTTGTCAAAATTAAGGTCCCTTTTTGGGTACCCCTAATAATAGGTGCTGTATTACAATAGGGACCCGAAGAGGGACCATAATTTTGACCACCACCCATGTAGATCCCTGATGTCGGACCCCCCTCTGTTCTCGCTCATTATACTGCATTACAGTCCCTATTATGGGAGAGGGGTTTTCGTCAACACATCCGAGGGCTTTGGATTCGGGGGTTTTGTGCTCAGGGATAGAGGATGTAGGGGTCGGGGATTCAGGGTTTAGGTTTAAACAGCACCAGATACAGAGACAGTTTGGTTGGAGTGGTCAAAGGCAAGCCCTGTTCCTTACCTGGACCCCAAAACAACTATCTTTGGAATGACTTGCACTGATATGTACAGAAATCATAAGCTGAACCCTAGCAAAGTAGGTCAAGGTAGGTTATCTAGGATTCAGGTATTCCCTGCACTGCTCGTATGTGCGTTAGCTGTTTGGGAATATCTTGAGTCTCAGGGTATGGCTAACATTCCGCAGGTTGCCCGATTGGTGCACATATCTTCTGTATGCCCGGCAACGAAAGGCCCTTATGCAGATGTTAAGGCCGCTAAATTACCTGCACGGATTTGCCCGAAGATTCGGATTTGGGATACTGTTATTTAAGGGTTATGAGTTCTACAACAAAACTAAGGGGTGATGACCTACTATGTTGTAGGGTTTGGGGCTTCAGAACTAAGTCTTAGACTCACCCCTAAGCCCTAATCAGATGGACAGCCTCAGGATATATATTACAACATATTGTTTAATCTGTACTATAACATGTTCTTCTCGGATGATAATGTTTAATGTGATATGCCATTGTTTACGGCAGTACGCTTGAGTACACAACAAAGAACCACGGATGATTGTAGTTCGTATATATACTCCTCAGGAAGAATTCCTGGCCCAAGCTGCACGCGAGTTGGCGGCCTCGGGTGCTTTTGCCTTCGACCCGGTGAAGCGGGCGACCTCCCTGTGTTCAGCGGTAGTTAGTTTTTTGTGTTTTATGGTGTTTTGGGTCTGGGGGTTACGGGTCATTGTTTGGGGGTTAGGCTTTAGGCATCCGTGTTTTCAGATCTTTGGTGAGCATGCGTGTTGTTTGTTTAATTATTGGCTTTGGGACTACGGCGGCACAATGCCGTAGAAGCCCAGTGAACTACAAGGAAGGTAGTCGGCGATGGGTCCTCTAATACAGGATTAAACAAGGCTTTGTGACTGTATCAACAAATTTGAAAATTGGAGTGCCCAGGTGACGTTTCGGCGGAGGGACTGGCCGTGAGTGCAAAAAGTGTCTGGGGTACTGTAGTGATACTATTCCTCAGGGTTCCTTACTGAACTTACACAGTATTAGAGCCCAAAGACCTTTTCTATGTAGCCCCTATAAAGTAAAAGGCAGAAAGTTGGAATATGATTATCCTAAACCCTTTATGGTAAATTATAAGGTATCCTACCCTGAAATCATATTCCAACTTTCTGGCTTTTCCCTATAGTACCTAACCTTATGTTCCCTAAACCCTAAACCCTAAACCCTAAACCCTAAACCCTGAACCCTAAACCCTAAACCCTGAACCCTGAACCCTAAACCCTAAACCCTAAACCCTAAACCCTGAACCCTAAACCCTAAACCCTGAACCCTAAACCCTAAACCCTAAACCCTAAACCCTAAACCCTGAACCCTAAACCCTAAACCCTAAACCCTAAACCCTAAACCCTGAACCCTAAACCCTAAACCCTGAACCCTGAACCCTGAACCCTAAGCCCTAAACCGTAAAGCCCTCTTGGGGTCTCAGGGACTCCTGGGGTGTGCGGTTTTCGGGTTTGGGGCGGCTTTGGGAGGCCTGAAGGTTTTGCGTTTTTTTGAAGCTGTTTTCAAAGGGGAAACCCAGACCCCCGGGAGGATCTAGAAAGTAGATCCCCTAATTTGGGGCCCTATACTACTAAGGGTACTTTTCTGGAACCGCCATTAAGGGATCTACTTTTTGGATCCTCCCGGGGGTCTGGGAAAGGAGGGACCCTTAATGGGGACCCCTACCCTATAGTGGGCTATATAACAGCTTTGTCCCTAGGGGTCCTCATTAAGGGTCCCTCCTTTTACCCTTGGATGTTTTGGGATTACAACGTTGTCGAAGAAGCCAAAAAAGCTGAGGATCAGCGTCACCAGCAGCCGCTTTTTGTTGCTGTTCAGGGTTTACTGATGTGGCAGGCTGAGAGGAAAAGCTGTACGTCTTGATGTTTGCAGTAGCAGCTTTTGCAAAGCCTAACTTTCGAGAAGGGAGTCGTCCAGGTCGTCTCCTAGATTGTCCGGTGGTAGCATTTTCGGGCCTCCTTATAAGAACATATGACCAGAGCAAACTGGAGAACCTGAACTCGACTTCCCGGATTCCACATTCCGTTTTACTGGGGTCGTGCAGCTCCCTGGTGCCTAACTTCGTGGACCCAGGGGCCTAAGGGTTTGTAGGGTTATACTGATCTTTGCGTTTAGGGATTTTGGGGCTGTGGGGTTTGGAGACGTCCTTGGGCCAGGACAAGTAACCCAAGTATGGTTTTTTTTTGAACTGTTTCACAGGGCTCTTTGGAACGTGGAGTCGTTCCTTAAATTCCAGAAGTACTTCTACTACCACTAACCCAATGAACCCGAAATTGTTGTACTTTTGTGGCCCTTAGGTTAGCGCCTCCAATACCAATGTCATGCTATGGTTATCGTGCGGTAGTTTCGCGTTTAGGCCTTAAAGTCCAGGTTTAAAAGCTCCATGCTCCTTCGCGTGCATTGCTATGGGCCCGAGATCATGGCTTATTGTTAATGAGTTAGAGAGCCGGATGGAGCATCGCTTCTTCTCCGGGGTGGAAGGACATGGAGGAGTTCGTGCCTAGGTCGCTTTGAGGGGGGCGGCTGGGGGTTGAATACAGGTTTAATGTAGGGGCTTGAGTAAGTAGACAGGGCTTTCGGTGCACATCTCAGTATGATGTTCGTAGGGACCAGAAGGGAATAATATTACCATGTGTCTGGGTTTTTCTACTAGGGAGGTGCAGAGATAGCACCAATACCTAGCTAAATGTATGCAAGTGAGAGCACAACAGGATACAACAGATATGCCAGCATTGACGAAGACATAAGAATATGCATATGTATATGTAATCAAATATATATATATATATATATAGAGAGAGAGAGAGAGAGAGAGAGAGAGAGAGAGAGAGAGAGAGAGCGAGAGAGAGGCCGATGTGCAGATCAAAACTCTTGCCTCAAACTGTAATACTCTAAAACCTTAACCACCGAAGCCGGTTTTTCAGGGGCCTGTTTCATGCTGTGTCTAACATAGGGGCCGAAATATTCACCTATACGATTTGTTGGGGGGGTCCTCAGTATAGTTGTAGCATAATCGGCCCCCAAACCCTATTCTATTTTTAATCAGGCCCCGATATCATGAGTGTTTGTTGGGGTGTCAATCGAGGAAGGTGTATGTTCTCTCACATTTCATATACCTGGCTGCCCGCCTGCCACCGCTACCCGCTCCTTCCTAACATAGGAACCCTGATGAAGGAACTCAGGGTCCTTATTAGGGTGGTTTATACGAATCCGAAAAGTTTGGTGTTGCAGGGCCAGGGTACCTTAACAGGTCCTTGGTACAATGGCCTCACCTCCTCCTCCCCTTTGCACCTACATCGATGCATAAATGGTCTGCGTACACACCCCCAGAAGCCCCAAAGCACCACAGCGCCGCCCTAAATCGCAAAATCGCAAACCGAAAACCTCACATCCCCAGCCACCTACTTTGTAAACCCTGTATACCTCAAATCCTTAGACCGTAACAGTCTAATTACACCGAAAGCCTAAAGCCCTGAACCTTCCTGTGCAGCACATGCAACCAGACCTTCCCCTCCACCTAGAGGTTCATGGTACTTAGTTATAATTAAGGTATCTATACTTATGACTTATAACTTATAACCCCCATTAAGGTACTTATAACCTTACTTACGAAGTCCCATGATCCTCCAAGTAGCAGCCGAGACCCTAAACCCGAATATCCTTTTTAAGGAACCCTATAGATCCCTTTAAGGAGCCTTCGCTATAACCCTACTAAGTACCATGAACCTCCAAGTAGCCTTTCGTAGCTTCAGCGTTTGAGGTTGAGGGGTTTGGGGCACAGGGTTGTGCAAGGGCTACACGGTTAATACACAGTGAACCCCAGAAAGTGGGAACACTATTTAAGGATGATTAGTGCTGGGATTTCCTATACTTTACCTCAAGGGCATGAGGAAAATTATATTCCAACTCTATGGGTTCTACTATAGGGGCAGAAATAATTACCTATACTATTTTGGTGGGTTCCTTATTCTATTAGTAGTACAACGGGCCCCAGGAGCTTATTCTACTTAGTAAGGCCCCTATGTTACGTACTGTCCCATCCTTGTGGAATCCTTATCCCATGCGGACCCGTATGGTATAAACTCTGGCCCCTAAAGTTACTTTCCAGGAGCCCCTTTGAAGCACGGACCTCTAGGGCTAAAGAGGCTCAAAACCGCGCACTTTTCTCAGGATGACTTCGACATTCGGGACTATGCCCCGCATTGCATCGAATCCGCCAACCTTGGTGTCCAGCATCCTTGCCTTCATTCAAATGGGGAAAGGAGGGACCCTTAATCGGGACCCCTACCCCATAATGGGCTGAAAAATGGGGATATAATAATAGCTATATTAAGGGTATATACCTCGGGTACTTATTAAGGGTCCCTCCTTTTACCCTTGGATTCATGTGAATGTGACCCTAAACCCTAAAGCCCCAAACCCTACTGTTGATGATATAAATCCTGCATTACCTTAAGGACCCTAAACTATGGGAACTATGGTATATTCCTTATTAAGGGTAATGCAGGGTTTATATCATCAACCGTAAAGCCCTGAGCCCTTAAGCCCCAATGTCCGAGTTCAGGAAAAGGTGTAGGACTAAGCGCTTGGAGATTGAGCTCCCTGCTAGGTTTTTATCATATAGGAGCCTGACGAGGCTCCTGCACGGATGATATGCAAGGGATCCGTTACAGTGTAGTTTTTATCCGCCCAAAGCCGAGTTTAATGCTTGAGGCCACTTCGGTGATCTGGGAAGTCTCATGGGGTCTTTGGCTTGGTTTGTACATGAGATCCCGTGCTTCGAAGAGACATGATCGGGACTCTTATGGGCGTCTTCGCTGCTTTTCTGGTGCTTAATGTGAGGGGCCTAAACAAGTACCAACACTACGGCTGATGATATAAATCCTGCATTATACAGAAGGAATATACCATTATTCCCATAGTTTAGGGTCCTAAAGGTTATGCAGGATTTATATCATCAACAGTATTTTGGGGGTTCCTTATTATAAGATTATAAGTATAGTATAATGGGCCCCAAGTTCCTATTCTAGTTATTGAGGCCCCTACATTAGAGGTTTAGGGCTGTGCGTTCGGTTGGGATGGAGAAAATCAAGATTCCGTAGCTCGGGCCACACGGAACATACTGGAAAGGTGCAGATATCCTGCGATATACCCTGTCTCAGGGATTGGTTAGACACGTACTAGTGGAGAAGTCTTAGTCAGACAGTCTTCTTTGACAGGTATGTTTGCTCGCTTACATCGGCAGAACAATCAGCTGCAAGTCCGCATGAACCCCAAGTCAAAGCCCCGGAAACGCCTACAGTTGAACTGTACTCCCTTACCCAGCCCGATCCTGCAGCAAGCCAAGGCACAGACAGCTATAAAGTTCAGTTTCGAGTACGACTAATTAGTTGTACTACTGTTGATACACACCCATAGCCCTTGTCCACATACTTGCGGCGATGCCTCTGACTGCTCTGGACCCTTCAAGTACAGAACCTTTCGACAGAAAGAACAGGAAGGAATCCTACATCCTATGTCCCTGAATTCGTTTAGCCAAGGTCCCTTGTGAAATCATACATCCCCCGACCAGCGTAAAACCCTAGTAGCCCTAGAAA